AGCTAATTGAATGTATTCTTCCGAGTGCACAGTTTTGATTGCCTGTCTGTGGTTAGAGAACCAAATAGGTGACACCATAAAAGAACTTCTAAAAAACATTTACTAGATTCCACCTTGTGTCTAAACTGTGGCTGGTGCCTGGTAATTTTCCAGTATGAATTTCTTGAATGAATAGGTACATGAATGGGAGCTTGTTTCCTCATCTGTAAGAGGAGGGTTTTAATATCCACTTTGAAGGATTATTGTTAAGACCAGAAAAAATGTATAGAAACTGCTTTATGCAGTGCTTCACAGGTTGTTTATAAGCCATAGCTCCACAAATGACATGTATTGCTAATCATTTACTATGCTTTCCCCTGTTCTCATATTGGTGGTGGCAGTGGGTTGAGTGCTATGGGAGAGACTGTATTCGACTGGTTGACATTTCCTTTATTTTCCTTTCTATTTTATTTGTGCTGCATCTTTGCCTCTTATTTTTTGGAAAACTTAAGAATAGAGGTATTTGCTGTTTTATTCAGTTTGTTTGCCTTGACAAAATGCATGTGTGTGCATCATGGTTCAGGACTCCTGTTCATTTTCATATGAACAGAAACCCCTGGGAAGGGATACATATACACGAGAGCGTCACTGTGAAATAAAGCTCAAGGGTTGGAGATATTGCTGGAATATGGAGTAAAAATGCTTTCTAAAAAATGAGAATGCTAATGGATGCCAATTTACTTTCTAAACTATAATTTTCCCTGTGGGAGTCATTAATAAACTCAGTAGTATTGAAATTCCTTGGAATGGTAATATATGCCAAAACCATGGAGGCATAGACTCTTGGATAAGTGGTACATAAAATATCATTTATTCCAGTCCAACTACACGCTTGATTGTCCTCTCTAGCTTCCTTGCCACAGAGATGCTCAGACTTAGTTAAAATGAACTCTAATAATGGTAGGGAAGGGTTTCTCTGTATACCATAACCATCATTTCATCTAAATTTTCTAGAACAAAGTGCTTCTTCACCTGGAGTCTCTATAGTTCTCTTATTCTCCTCCCCTCCCCTCTCTCTCAAAACCAACCAGCCAACCAATGAAACACTCAACCAACCAAACAAACAACAAACAAATGGGTATGTAATCAAATAGTTTTGGGAAACATTGCATACATAGCTCACACACACAAGGAGTTGCAATGCTTGTATGTGTATTTGCTGGGGAATTTTTCAGTATATTTAACCCCAATATTTCACAAAACTTACTTGATCATGAACCTTTGCTTTTACCTAGAACACCTGTTTATAACTTACAACAGTAGTTGGCATATAGTAGGTGCTCAATAAATCTTTGTTTAAAAAAGTTAAGGAATGTAAAATTTTTAAAAACGATATAGGGTACCTTGTATAAAGATGACAAATGTTCTCTATCTCTGCAAGTGACACAAACAAAATTGAATGGGTATACCTTCCTCCTCTGCGAACCATCCTAAATATTTATTTTGACACCTTTTAGGACTTAAACATTTCTTCATATTTGAAATTGGAGCTTGTGTCCTCTTTTTCACAACTACCTTTCATTTTCTAGAAGAAATATTAGTGATAACTTCACAATAAAAGCTTGTTTCTTTTGCTTCCTGATCAATCTATGGAATGAATGAATTGGCAAGCACTGTTCTTGTCTTTTGTTTTCAGTTGTGCCTGATTGTGTTTTTTATTTTACAAGCACGTGGTTCTTCGGTAAGGCTCTTAAATGAAAAGCTGCTACAGGTGGGTGTTTTTGAGGGTGTTTGTCAGATTACCTATTGTCTTAGTGCCTCTTTTTTGGCTTCTCAACTGGCCTTTTTGGGGTTTAGCAACTAGTCATAAGTAAAGAGAATGCATGCTTTTCATTTGTAAGTAATTGAGCTTCCTACCTGGGACAGCTTGACAACCCTCCTATCAAATGTGAATCTAGCCAACAAGGAACATGCTGTAATGTGGACTTCATCCAGCGTTTGCTTATTTCAGGCTTTTCACTTATTATGCTCTGGAGTAAAAGAGTCTAAAGGGTTAGCAAAAGGAACACTATAAATCATATTTGTTCTTTTGTATTTCAGTAGTAAATCTGTGCAGAAATTCAAGAACATCAGATACAAAGCGGAGTGGAACTCAGAGTACTGACTTTGGATAAAGTTGACACTATTTCTTTTTTGTAGCTCCTCACTGATAACCTGTATCTTCTGTTTCCTCTCATGTGTTATCTCCTCTCTCTTCAGTCTGTTTCTGGCTCATGTCTTTATTATTTCTAAAAATAATATCAACTTCTCTCTTAGTTATTTCATCCTTTTTCATTGGTATGGAAATGTTATTTTGTTGGCTCAGTTGTGGAAGACATTTTACAATAGAAACATCAGTATGTTTTTTCTTATATGTATGGATTTTACCCACCGCTGGATCTTATAGAATGTAAGGGGCCTTAGAAAGCATTTGTTGTATAGCCCTCACTTCTAAAATGGGGTAAGGAGAAGCATGGATCAGATCCTCAAACCTCAGAGGGAAGGTAGGGGAGGGTGGGGGTAAGGAGGAGAGATCAACCAAAGGACTTGTATGCATGCATATAAACCTAACTAATGGACACAGATACCAGGGGGGTGAGGGCATGAGTGGAGGGGTGGGAGTGGGGAAATGAGGGGATAAGGACACATATGTAATACCTTAATCAGTAAAGAAAAAAATAAAATGGGGTAATGAGGTGAGGGGTAGGGAGTGACTTGCTCAGGATCACAGAGCAGCTCTCTGACAGAGCCAGTACTAAGCCCAGGGCCTCCCACTCCCAGTCCTTGGCCTTTTATTTTATGCCAGATATCTCTTTCATTACATAAATGGATTAAAAAAATTTAGATTAAATGGACATCTTTCTGTACCTATGTAGGAACCCAAATGGTGTGGGAGAAACGAAGTTGCAGATATTAGTACTTCTGACATCTGACATAAAATTCATCAATTTATCTTTTACTGATCAAAGCAGGGATGGATTTGAATTTCATTATGTAGGAATATTTTAATGCCTAATGATCTTATTTATTTGTTTATTTATTTAATAAACATCTTGTTTTTTATCTTTTAAAAATATGTTTTCATTGATTTCAGAGAGAGGAAGGGAGAGATAGAAACGTCAACCATTGATCGGCTGCCTCCTGCACACCCCTACTGGGGATCAAGCCTGCAAACGGGCATGTGCCCTGACTGGAAATCAAACCATGACTCGTGGTTGACACTCAACCACTGAGCCACATCAGCCAGGCCTAATGCTCTTATTTAAATGGCAGGAAGCATTTGGGGCATTGCCACTTTTACAGGCCTTGAAGGGCAGAGAGAGTTCTAGTCCTCTTTGCATTATTCCCATTCTTACCCTTCTTCCATGTCTCCATGTCTAAAAATGTCAATGTGGGACACATATTTGTGGCTGACAGAAACACATTCTTTTATCTGAGGAAACATGTAACATTTTTTGGATATAAAGACACAACAATGTGGAAGTGTACTCCTTGGCCTGGGACATACCAGGAGCCTCATTTTAAAAACATTACAAGACATTTTTTGGAATTGATTTGTATGTCCTGATAAATTGCAGATTTTTAATGGCATAGATCTTATGAAAATAAATTTGTCAATTAATTGCTTTATGTTTCAATTGGGGGAGGATGAGGGGTGGGTCATTCTGTAACAGATACCCTATTCAGGTGTCTAGTGTGGACCCATCGAGGATTTGTTTTTGTAATGCTGTTGAGCAGGGTTTACCCTGATAAACCACATCCATATTGTATGACTTGAGGAGCACTAAGAAGAGTAATGTGTCATCTGCCTGACACCACCAGAGACTAGGTCTTTGAATGCCTTTTGTATCAGAGACAAGTGGAAAATATGGCTTCTATAAGAGGTGTGAAACCACAGGCATTAAAACCAATAATCCAAAATAGCCTAGTTTGATGACCTGTTTACTTTTAAAAAGTTATTCTTGCTCATGGACCAGAGGCAGGTAGTGGACTTTGATTTTTGGCTCCTATATAGAGTTCACTAGAATTGAACATTAGAAATCAGCACTTAAGATCAGGGACAACTAAAACATATTGAACAATGAGTGCGTGGATATTGTTCTGCTGTAATGATCAAAGGTGAGTTAATATGATACTATTTATAAAAGACCTATTATTATGTCAGGTATTTTGCATTTAGTTGGCACAGCACCCTGTGAGGTAGATGCTATTATGCCCAGTTTACAAGTGAGTAAACAGGCTCAGAGAGCCTAAGTAACTTGCACTTGTTTGTACAGCCTGTAAATGCAACAAATTGAGATTTGAATTCAGGTCTGTCTGACTCAAAAGCCACATGTTTCACTGTACTTACTCTCCAACTCTTTTCCTGACTTATAAAATGGGATAACAATAATACTTTCCTTTCAGGTTATTTTAAGGATTTAATAAGATAAGAGATCTGAGAAGTGATTTGTAATTTCTAATAAAGTTTTGTGGCATAAAAGGCATCACCAGAAGTAGAAGATAGTTTGATAGTGTCTCCGTGACTATCTACCTTAGTGCCTCCATGGCTATATACCTTTAAATATGCAGGGTGTCCCAAAAATGTGTACACACTTTGAATAATTATTAATTCCAATATGTTAAATCTGAAAATAAAGAAACATCAATTGTGCTCTCAAAAATGTATGTGTATACATTTTTTAGGGACATCCTATATATTCAGAGTTTTGACCTTTGCCCCTGGCTTTCTGGCAAATGAGAGTAGTTTATATCCTGGGCATAGATTCTGAGAACTAAGACACTGGTCCTATTTAGTGATGTTTTCAACAGTGAGATTTCCCTGCCATGTAGCTGAAGAGTAAAGAAGGGAAGATCAGCAACATGTCTGTGGACACAGATCTGTGGGACCCCTGGAGTTCTTTTTAGCACAATGTGCAATCATGTGTATGGTTCTAGCTGAACTTTAACATATATGTTGTTTCTCTTTCTATTTGTCATAGATTCCGAGCTGCATCTCTGTGTAAAGGACATCAGTCATTTCTTAATGCAAGACATTGCATTTTTGTCCGGTAAGCAGACTTTTACATATATTTAGATGAGATAAATGTATGAATCTATTAGCAAAGTTAGTTTGGTCCTTATTAGTGTGTGTGTGTGTGTGTGTGTGTGTGTGTGTGTGTGTGTGAGAGAGAGAGAGAGAGAGAGAGAGAGAGAGAGAAACACTATTTTAATAAACACTTATACATTGTGTAAATAGTTGCTAAAAATGGACATTTAGAGAATAATTGGAGGTTTTTCAATACATTTAGATATGTGATTAAAACCAATGTTACCACCTTTGTGTATTGACTTTCAGCTAAGTCTTTCGAAGTTCATGGTAAGTGAAAGTAGAATATATCTCCTAAGTGGATGCTGGCTGGGTTAGAGGGTGGCAACTATGGTGGCATATTTGAGATTTTCACCTCCACTGTACTCTGATTACTTAAATGTTTATTACTAATTCTGTCAAGCCACTCACCTAATCAAGTAGCACGTACTAAGTTGTTTTTTTTAGGATTTCATTTACACATGATAAAAGTTGTTTACTTTTCTAAAATATATATCTGCATTTGTATATGTATATGCATTTGTATATAATTAAAAATTATTTTAAATTATTGTTTAAAGTATTACATAAGTCTCCCTTTTGACCCAGTGACCTTTCCCCGGCCACCCCCACCCCCCAGCACATGTCCCCACCCCTCTATTGTCTGTGTCCATTGGTTATGCTCACATGCATGCATAAAAGTCCTTTGGTTGATCTCTTACCCCCTCACTCCCCACTTTCCCTCATAGATTGGACAGTCTGTTCGATGCTTCTAAAACTCTGGTTCTATTTGTTATTGTTTTTTTCTTTATTGATTAAGGTACTACATATGTGTCCTTATCCCCCCATTGCCCTCCCACCCCCCACTCTTGCTCTTACCTCCCTGGTGTCTGTGTCTGTTAGGCTTATATGCATGCATACAAGTCCTTTGGTTGATCTCTCCCCCTTACCTCCACCCTCCCCTACCTTCCCTCTGAGGTTTGATGGTCTGATCAATGCTTCTCTGTCTCTGGATCTGTTTTTGTTCATCAGTTTATGTTGTTCATTATATTCCACAAATGAGTGAGATCATGTGATATTTATCTTTCTCTGACTGGCTTACTTTGCTTAGCATAACACTCTCCAGTTCCATCCATGCTGTTGCAAATGGTAAGAATTCCTTCTTTTTTACCGCAGTATAGTATTTCATTGTGTAGATGTATCACAGTTTTTTTTTAACCCACTCATCTGCTGATGGGCACTTAGGCTGTTTCCAAATCTTAGCTATTGTAAATTGTGTTGCTATGAACATAAGGATATATAGGAGTGCATATATCCTTTCTGATTGGAGTTTTTGATTTCTTGAGCTATAGTCCTAGAAGTGGGATTACTGGGTCAAATAGAGGTTCCATTTTAATTTTTTGAGGAAATCCCATACTGTTTTCCACAGTGTCTGCACCATTGTCTACATTCCCACCAGCAGAGCAAGAGGGTTCCTTTTTTCCCTCATCCTTGCCAGGACTTGTCATTTGTTGATTTGTTGATGATAGCCATTCTGATAGGTGTGAGATGGTACCTCATTGTTGTTTTGATTTGCATCTCTCAGATGATTAGTGACATGTTTTCATATGTCTCTTGGCCTTCTATATGTCCTCTTTCTAAAAGTGTCTATTTGGGCCCTTTGCCCATTTTTTGACTGGATTGTTTATCTTTCTTTTGTTAAGTTGTATGAGTTTCCTGTAAATTTTGGAGATTAAACCCTTATCGGAGATAACATTGGCAAATACGTTCTCCCATGCAGTGGGCTTTCTTGCTTTGTTGATGGTTTCATTTGCTGTGCAGAAGCTTTTTGTTTTTAATACTTTTTATTGATTTTTTACAGAGAGGAAGGGAGAAGGATAGAGAGTTAGAAACATCAATGAGAGAGAAACATCGATCAGCTGCCTCCTGCACACCTCCTACTGGGGATGTGCCTGCAACCAAGGTACATGCCCTTGACTGGAATCGAACCCGGGACCCTTCAGTCTGCAGGCCGACTCTCTATCCACTGAGCCAAACCGGTTAGGGCAGAAGCTTTTTATTTTGATGTAGTCCCATTTGTTTATTTTCTCCTTAGTTTCCATTGCCCTAGGAGCTGTATTGGTAAAGATATTGCTACGACAAATATCTGCTGTTTTGCTGCCTATAGCTTCTAAGTTTTTTATGGTTTCCCATCTTATTCTTAAGTCCTTTATTCATTTTGAGTTTATTTTTGTGTATGGTATAAGTTGGTGGTCTAGTTTCATTTTTTTGCATGTATCTGTCCAATTTTCCCAACACCATTTATTGAAGAGACTGTCTTGATTCCATTGTATGCTCCTGCCTCCTTTGTCAAATATTAAGTGAGCATAGTGGTTTGGATCGATTTCTGGGTTCTCTATTCTACTCCATTGGTCTATATGTCTGTTCTTGTGCCAATACCAGGCAGTTTTGAGAACCGTGGCTTTGTAATACAGGTGATAACTGGTATTGAGATCCCACCTACTTTGTTCTTCTTTCTCAAGATTGCTGCAGCTATTGGGGGTCTTTTTTTATTTCAGATGAATTTTTGGAGAGTTCATTCTAGGTCTGTGAAATATGCCATTGTTGTTTTAATGGGGAGTGCATTAAATCTATAGATTGCTTTGGGAAGTATGGACATTTTAATGATGTTGATTCTACCAATCCATATGTTCTTCCATCTGTTTATGTCTTCCTCTATCTCTTTTTTGGTGTCCTGTATTTTTCCGAGTACAGGTCTTTTACCTCCTTAATTAAGTTTATTCTTAGGTATCTTTTTTTTGCAATGATAAATGGGATTGTTTTTTTAATCTCTCTTTCTGTAAGTTCATTATGGTTGTATAAAAATGCCATAGATTTCTTGGCATTAATTTTGTATCCTGCTACATTGAAGAATTCATTTATTAAGTCTAATAATTTTTTGATGGAGTCTCTAGGGTTTTCTATGTATAATATCATGTCATCTGCAAATAATGACAGTTTTACATTTTCTTTTCCAATTTAGATACCTTTTATTTCTTCTTCTTTTCTAATTGCTATGGCTAGCACTTCCAGATCTATGTCGAACAGGAGTGGTGAAAGTGGGAGTCCCTGTCTTGTTCCTGTTCTTAGGTGAAATGGTTTTCATTTTTGCCAATTGAGTAAGATGTTGGCTGTAGGTTTGTCATATAAGGCTTTTATTATGTTGAGATATGATCCCTCTATTCCCACTTTGAGAGTTTTTATCAGGAAAGGGTGTTGGATTTTGTCAAATACCCTTTCTGCATCAATTGATATGACTATATGATTTTTATCTCTCAATTTGTTTACGTGATGTATCACGTTTTTTGATTTGCAGATATTGTACTATCCTTACATCCCTGGAATAAATCCCACTTGGTCATGATGTATGATCTTTCTAATATAATGCTGGATCCAATTTGCTAGAATTTTGTTGAGGATTTTAGCATCTATGTTCATCAGGGATATTGGCATGTAATTCTCTTTCTTTGTAGTGTCATATCTGGTTTTGGGATTAGGGTAATGCTGGCTTCATAGAAAGAGCTTGGAAGTATGCCTTTCTCTTGAATTTTTTTGGAATCGTCTGAGAAGGATAGGTTTTAGTTCTTCTTTGAATATTTGGTAAAACTCACCTGTAAAGCTATCTGGGCTATGGCTTTTGTTAACTGGAAGTTTTTTGATTACTGTTTCAATTTCATCAGTAGTTATTGGCCTATTCAGGTTTTTTATTCTTCCTGATTGAGTTTTGTAAGCTTGTATTTTTCTAGGAATGTGTCCATTTCATCAAGGTTGTCCAGTTTGTTGGAGTAGGGTTGTTCGTAGTACTTTTTTTTACAATCCTTTGTATGTCTCTGTGTCGGTTGTTACTTCACCTCTTTCCTTTCTGATTTTGTCTATTTGGGTCCTCTCTCTTTGTTTTTTGGTGAGCCTGGCTAGAGGTTCATCAATCTTGTTTATCCTTTCAAAGAACCACCTCTTGGTTTCATTGATCTTTTGTATTTCTTTTTTGTTTTGTCTCTATGTTGTTTATATCTGCTCTGATCTTTATTATTTCCTTCCTTCTGCCTACTCTGGACTTTTCTTGTTACTCTCTTTCAAATTAAGTTGCAGGCTTAGATAATTTATTACCATTTTCTTTCTTTCTTTTTTTTTCAGGTAGGCCTGTAGAGCTATGAACTTCCCTCTCAAGACTGCTTTCACCGTGTCCCATAAATTTTGGATTGTTGTATTTTCATTGTCTTTCATTTTCAGGATGTTTTTATTTTTTATTTTTTTTTTTAAATATATTTTATTGATTTTTTACAGAGAGGAAGGGAGAGAGATAGAGAGTTAGAAACATCGATGAGAGAGAAACATCATCAGCCGCCTCCTGCACACTCCCCACTGGGGATGTGCCCGCAACCCAGGTACATGCCCTTGACCGGAATCGAACCTGGGACCCTTCAGTCCGCAGCCCGACGCTCTATCCACTGAGCCAAACCGGTTTCGGCCATTTTCAGGATGTTTTTAATTTCTTCTTTGATGTCTTTGGTAACCCAATCATTGTTTAATAGCATGCTATTCAGCCTCCAAATGTTTGATTTTTTTTAATTGTTTTTATTGTATTTGATTTCTAATATTATGCCATTGTGGTCTGAGAAGATGCTTGATATGATTTCAATCTTCTTGAATTTGGAGAGACTTTGCTCGTGACTCAGTATGTGGTCTATCTTTGAAAGTGTCCCATGTGTACTTGTGAAGAATGTATATTCTGTAGCTATGGGGTGGAATTTTCTGAAGATGTCAATTATATCCATCTGATCTAGTGAGTCATTTAGGATTGATGTTTCTTTGCTGATTTTGATCCAGAGGATTTATCCAGTGATGTCAGTGGGATATTAAAATCTCCTACTATGATTGTATTGTTGTTGATCTCTCCCTTGATTTCTTCCAGAAGATTTTTTTTATGTATTTGGGTACCCCTGTATTGCGTGCATATATGTCTATCAGAATTATATCTTCTTGTGGTATTGATCCCTTTAGTATTATGAAGTGGCCTTCCTTATCTCTTGTTATGGCCTTCACTTTGAGGTCTATTTTGTCAAATATAAGTATTGCTACCCCAGCTTTTTTTTTTCATTTCCATTTGTCTGAAATATATTTTCCATCTCTTCACTCTCAGTGTGTGTGTGTATGTTGTTCTGAGGTGGGTCTCCTGCAGACAGCATACATATGGGTCATATTTTCTTGTCCATTCAGCCACTCGATGTCTTTTGATTGGAGCATTCAGGCCA